AATGTTGCAGATCGTAATGAATGTCAAGATGGAAGTAACAAATGTTTGAAGAACAGTGTTTGTGTGAATACATTCGCATCATATCGATGTGTCTGTGAAAATGGCTTCAAAGCTAAGCCAGGCACACATCCACTGAGACCCACTTGTGAACGTAGGTTTCTTTGCTCACTTGTGGGAAATTTTTTCCCAATCAACTCAGTCTATGTTTACCGCTGGCCAATTATAGCCGAAAACATGATTTAATCCGATCTTTTCAACGCTGACTTGAATCGCCTCTTAAAATCTTGTGTGAGTGGCCCTATCGTGACGAGTAGAACAGGAAACACGGTTTCTATTGCCTACCTCTGGTAGCTCATATCAAGATATTCATAATGTAGGATGATGTGAACGTCACAAAAGATGACAGTGCCGTAAAGATATCACTCCGCTTAACACCTTGTTAGATGAATGAACACCTTGTTAGATGAATGTATTAGCATTTGATCACCTCCGAGCAATACGGAAGGTAAATAAAATGATGTGATCAATGAAGATTCTGCTAGCATGATTCATAAAATCTCAAAACATTTGATATGACAAGCTTTTGAGGTGAGGATGTATGCCAGAAACTGCCGACAGTATGTCTACCGGGGCGTTGTGAAAACACCGATCAAGATCCATACTTCAGATGCTATTGTCCTCCAACAGCTGTAGCCATTGGTCAAACCAAGTGTGTTCGTAAGTGTTACTTCGTTTTCTAACATTTCGTTTTGCGTATTTGTTCCACCAAACAGTCCTCATTCTAATCGCATACAAACTCGCTAACATCAATCTAACATCTCTTCGTTGATAGCTTTCATCTAGCAATGCTCTAAACTGTTCTATTTGATGATGACAATGTATTGTTGTGTTGTTTCAGATCCGAACTATTGCGATGCCACATTCCCATGTCCACAGTTCGCAGACTGTGTGAACAATCAGTGCGCTTGTCGTAACGGTTACAGATGGCAAGAAACATCGGACTTCCCAGTTACTGTGGAATCGCTGAGAACTCGACCACCTTGTCAAGGTCACTTCTCGCTAGTCACTGTGAAATTCACTTCAACTTTTGAAGTGAACAATTCCTGGATGATAGACTTATAAACAAAATTGACTTTTACAAGCTACATTCTGATATGAATGATTATCAGATTCAGATGGGAATCTCAAATCAAGCAATACATACATTTTGGAATTATGCGCTTATTATATTGTCAAGCATTGCGTTCTATTCAAGTTTTGTTCAATATCTTATGAGTTTACAATAAGTTTGTAAGGGCTCATAAACTTGATGAGCCGAACGAACAGAGGATATTTGTTGTAGAGATAAATCCATGTGCTGAATCGGAACCATGCGTATCGCCACTGAAATGTGTCCATACTGGACCCGGTAGACACCTGTGTGAATGTCCGAAAGGTTTTGAGTTCATGTCCGGTGAATGTATCGGTAATATTTCATTGCATTCATTAGCTTATTGCTTCATTTCAACGCCTAATATCCTTTTGACACTTCAGATCATTCAAGTGAAGTGTGAGTCACATTCCAGTGACTTGTTTGATAATGTATCGAATGAAATTTGAGACTTCAAACTGATCACACTCAAAAATTCAGTCATAAACAATAAATTAGAAAGCAAACAATTCATTAGAGGGTATATTTATTACGTATAACGATACGGCATGTTTGACGATACCTGAAGAAGATGAATCAATTTAGATGTGAATGAATGCGAACTAAAAGTTGGTGCCGCACAATGCCCACCAAGATCAAGATGTATTAATTTACGAGGCAGTTACAAATGCCGATGCAACAGCGGTTTTACGGCCAGAGTTGGAAGGTTCGTTGGGGAGGAAAATCATTAGTTTGCACTCTCTCGTGAGATTTTCCAAAATTTTCGGATATCAGTGTAAGACTGTTATTTTAGACATGTGTTATCGTTTGCCATATGGTGAATGATCCGGATATCCTTTTGAATGACATTCAAGAATGCTTTCTAATTTGCAGTCCATTGACAAATCCGGTCTGTATCGATATCAATGAATGTGAATCTGGTAAGAACGATTGTGAACTAAAGAATGCAACCTGCGTGAATACCGAAGGTGCTTACGAGTGTGTTTGTGGTGATGGCTATAAAGCACAAGCACCTGATTACACCAAATGTAGAGGTGCGTCGTCAGTCGGGCTCAACTCCTTCATTCTTTNACTTCAAACTGATCACACTCAAAAATTCAGTCATAAACAATAAATTAGAAAGCAAACAATTCATTAGAGGGTATATTTATTAC